TCGGGGGGGGGAGGGGGGCGTACTCTTATATTTTGCATGTCTTAGCGGTTAGACCATTGACCACGCGTCCTCGAGAGGACGGAGCATTGTTCCCACAGGACCGATCACCGATGGCCAATCGTTCCTTTCTACTTTGCCAAAGGTGGCTCAAAAATGTCTTCCCTAGTCTGTCTATCCTAACGATATCCCTTCCCGCCTTTTCGGGGTGGGGGGTGGGGGGAGGGTTATTCACAGCCGATGACCTGCGCAGCCAGGGGGTTACAGAGAGCGACGTATTGTTACTGTTGCAGAGGGCTTTCCGACGATGCCCTTTCCACTTCCCATGGCCCAAAACAGCAGATGGTGCGAAATTGTGTCAGTCGTCAATGGCGTCAATTTCCGCGGACCTACATCGAGCCAACTATGGTAGGGCTGACTGAACAAAGCTGAAGAAGAAAAATCCTGTTGTCATCACACTATGGGCAGATCTTATAGCCGAATTTCGTTCTGGTGAATCCATGATGGTGAGCCAATCCCTACGTGCGATAAAATTGCGGCAAGACCAGATGATAAACAGCAGTATTATCCACACCAATAAGTACCAACGGACTGAGACAGGCCAAACATGTAGCGTGGTCTGGCCTGTAGCGGACCAAACACGATTGGACAGACCTCCGACGGAAGGGTCGTCCCAGACCACCTGAAAGCGAAGAGTCTCCTTGTTGTGCCTGAAGAAGCGACGAACCTACACATGGCACCGAGAACCACAGCGGGAAAACGTCCGTAACATGAACCCACAAGAACTCCCGAGTAACACGCGGACATGGCCGTGGTCGGGAAAAGCTGACTGGCTTTTTTTTACTTGAAGCGTCGACACACCCGAGGTTGAATCAGTCCTGTCCACTCATATGATTTTGGCAGGGCTCACTGAGAAAGTTTGGAGAGCCTGAACGAACGCCCAACGTAGTTTTTCGCAGACGGCTCGCACCTTTTCTTGGTGCGCCCTTCTGAGTCCGGAGCTTTCTTGCGTTGATCGCCCCCCGAACGATGGCGGTCGACCGCTGCAGACGAGCAAGGGCGTCGAAACACCGGCACGCGCCCCGAGCGGGAGGAGCGGAGGGGGGCACAAATATAGTTTGTTGTCGCTTAAATTGCTCAAACCATCGAAGCCTCATCTCTCATACATTGAGATAGGATGCCCATCCTCGCCCGCTCAATAGTAATGACGCCATGCGGCTGCTATACTAACTTTCACGTGATGCCGATTGCATTCTACTCGCAATGACTAGGAACAGCCAGCATGCCAAATCAGAACGTTTGGCAAATGTGGAGACCGGTACCATCATCTCAAACTCCATCCACATCAACGACGAAAAAAACAGTATCACAGCAACATCGACAACGGTAGCGACATCGAAACATCTAAACATCTCTCACCTTGGCGCGGTGTGAGGGCGTTGAGGTTTGTTGCACAAGCCGGTAGTGTGCTCAACCCGAAGGCACTGGTTGACTTCCTTCGGGACCGGTTGCGCTTCCGGCTGTCGAAACCCTTCGCTTTCGTACCTTGCATCGAAAATGTTTTACGGGGAGGGTCAGATTCAGGTTTATTTTCCTGTTTCCACCTCGGTATTCGGGTTACAATTCCGTTTCCTTCTGGTCATTGGGGGCCTCATGCGTTTCTGGCTTTCCCAACAAGTCTCGGCCGTGCTGGTTGCACTTTGCTGCTTCTGCGGCTCAGATTGGATCCATACAAGTATATCGAACCAAAATAACATCAGGCCGCTCGATAAGAGGCGGCCAGACGTTGGATGAGTCCGGAATGAAAGTACTTGGGCGTTTGAAATTCCGACCTGCTTTACACCCTAACCCCCGTGAGAGGGTACTCAAGGTGTACATGCTCCTCTCACTCTAGGTACCCTCCAACGCGGGTACCAGAAATCGGGGAGGATACCACTATGGGTGTCCTGTCATGCTCCCCCTCCAGCGGGTTTGCCTCCCCTCACCACTTTCTAGTGTAGTCGTCGCACTCCGTTAGTCGGTACGAGCGGCCGAGAAGATTGAGGTCGCTGCCCACCTGTTTCGGATGATCGTTTGGTCGGTTGGTCGGTTAAAGACGGGCTGTCTGTCTTTTGTTTACCTCGCACGAAAAAATACCCAAATCCCAAACAAGAAGCTGAGCCGCTCGACGTGTTGCCTGTGTTTATGTCAGGAGTATGAATGAGCATTGCATTCGGTCTAAGAAGCAACGGTGCGTGGGGATGAACGAAGCGTCTAAGGCCAGCGGCAAACCGTCAACCTTCCCTCCTCTTCAAATGTGGTTGATCGTTTACGGGTAAATCCGTAACTTCTCCGGATCGCTGAGACAACAAGGCACGCACGTTCTGTTTGCCATAACAACAGCGCATTGGTCTTACCTTGAGATCGCCAACGCCGTATATCGATCCATCGCGCTTCTTGAAAATGTTTCGTTTCAAGAGGAGGCCTCCCTGCTGACCGCTGTTGGCCTGATCCTCAGGCGGGGTTTCAAGCACAGCATTCACGGGACCAAGGAAGTTACTACCATTTGTTTCACAAGGCAGTGGTTGCACGGCTCGATCGTCAGCCCATGGCGCATGGATGCGCGGCAGATCAAGGGCTTGATTGCCAAGTGTGCACGCGGTAATGGGCCCTACTTCCAGGAGATCTTCCCGCCAATCCAGGAGGTCGTTGCCCTTCAGCTTTTTCAATGCACACTCTTGGTTTGCCGACGGAAAACATTCCATACACCATGGAACCACTGTAGGGTGAGGAGGGCCTTCGAGGAATGTCACCGATACCACGAGCGTAGTTTTGGTTGATAAAGTCGCCAGGAGAGTGAACATACATATTGTGATGTTACACCATCTGCTGAATTCAGCAGTCTCGTCGCTTGAATGCATAGACTCAGTTCATACATACGCGGTCAATCGACCACCGCGGTATTCGCCATTCGGTGCGATACTCAACCGTAAGCATTAGTCCACGTATCTCTCGCGTACGTACTTGGCGGTATTGTCTTCATCGGCTGCGCCGAGAGTCAGAATTGTCGTAGGGGCCTCCCTCCAACGTACCAAGTCTGTATTGCGGTCATCTCTTGAAGTTGAGAGTTCACAGTGACGGCCTTGCATGCTTAACCGACAAGTGTCTCTTTCCCCCTGGGACTCACGATGGAAACAAGAGAAAACCTATTATGTTGGTATCTCTCTACTGTCGAACGGCACCGACCAACGTGAGGTAGGCATACCTGACGCTTCTCGAAAATTTCCATACTGCCGTCGGCGAGGTACAGGTGCAACACCACCTGTCGGATCTTCAGAATCGGAGAGGCGGCACCACCGGCTATTTCTTCCCCCGGGCTTCTCTGGCACCCCCAGTCTAGTTCTACCATTTTCAAAGGATCCCGGGAGCGTTCGAAAGGTTGAGGAGCAGCGGGGGAGCACGATTAGGTTTCTTTCTGGGGTCTGAAAGTTGGTGGGGAGTGGGCGGTATTGCACTTGGATATCTGGCGTTAGCGTCTTCAAAAAGACAGGTATCGAGGTGGACACGGCGGAAAAATGGACGATCGAATTCTTGCGATCATTGCTGTCGGCGTGTGAGAGCTGTTGAGTCCTTGCCTTCCGTAAGATGTCCGAAAAACCGCAGAACCTGCTTCTCGGACACCACGAAGCTCGGAACGACCGCCGGTGGAGTGGCCGTAGCAGCGCTCTGTGGCCGAGCATGTTCCCTAAGACCATTAAGACCCCCGTCGGCCGGCGTTGATCGCACCCCAGTAGCAGACATCGGTCTGCAAGATCCGAGCGGGCGCTGCGCGAGCAACTCGGTGCCGCTTGCGCCATACGTGTGCGCTCGGCCTCGCGTCATTGTCGTTGCGCTTGCAGATCTCGGCCTCTGCGTTTTCCTGTCCCAGCCGCGCACGTTTCGTCGTCCCCGCGTGGTCTCGGCTCCCCACTGGCTGTTGCCGGCGCCGCTACCGCCACCATCGTGGTAGTCGTCGCGGTCTCCTTGGTGGTCATTGGTTTTCCTCGAGCGGGCTGAGTTGGCGGACGCTGGTCGCCTCCTGCGGCTCGGTGCCTCATGTGCGTTTCTACGGATTGTAGTTCGAGTGTTCCTAAGTTGGGCAGTGGCGGCGGCGTCGGTAGCGTCCAGCGTTGGCGTTGCTGTTAGTGTCATCTCTGTGTGTCCTACGCCGCGATATTCTTTCCTAGACGAGTATAAGCATCCGTGATCTTCGTGATCCCCTTCACTGTTCCGAGCAAAATATGGAGTTCCACCACGGGAATCCTCAACCTCGTCCCCGTGTGCGCGCTGTGCGTGCGTGGCAGGATTTTCGCTCGGGTTGAAATCAATATCGTTGTTGCCAGTGGGAGCAACTTGCACGCTTGTCGTGGATGCGTTCTCATAGCCGTGATGGTAGAATCCATCGCCAACACCGACACCAGCACGACTCCTTTTCACCCCTGCGGTCGAAGGGCGGCGATAGTCCACAGTGTGGTGTGGTGGTGGGGTACGTAGGCTACTCCTTCGGGAGAGCGTTGCAGCACCAATAGGTGACTGGTTTTGCTGGTGCTGGCGCGACGTGGAGGTACCCCCTGTATCGGACGAGGAAGAACGTGGCGAGCGTGGTGGCGTCGCCGGCGGAGCAGCGCGTCCGTCACGCCCTCCACCACGAACGATGCCAGCGGGATTCCTCGTGCAAGTCGCTACGGCAGCAGACGAAAACCCTACGGACGTTCGAACCGAAGGTGATGTCGGGCGGTAACCGCCCGCAGACATCGGTCTTTCGCGTACCCGACGCGACCGCGCACCGTCAGGCCGATAGATTCCGCTTGTTGTGCTACCAGCCTGGCTACAATTGTTGTCATAGTCATAAACGTTGTCAGCCATACTCCCGTGGGCTCCAGAGTATTTTGATTTTTCGACACCTAGCGCTCTCGGCGTCGAGGACCGATGAAACGCTACCATCGGTGCTGTCGTCAGCCTTCCCGAAGCCGTCGAGGGGCGGCGATGGGCATGTGACCGTGCCTGCACCTTCCTGTAACCACATCTAAAAAACCCGTGTGGTTGGCGCTGGAGTAAAAAACGGCGATGGTCGTGGATGGACGGTTGGACGCGGAAGAGGGGATCAAGAGAGACAGGCAGGGAACGAAGGAGAGGGAGCGAGAGGGAGAGAGAGAGAGAGAGAGAGAGAGAGAGAGAGAGAGAGGAGGAATGTGTGAAGCGAAGTAGGAGGCGTCGTAGTCGCCTAGAATTCTATAAACCTTGCATCAGATGGGCTTAGTCTCATGTAGGATACGCGATGTGCATGACGGGATGTGGCAACGTACTGCTGTGGTATAGTATATGGACTATATATTGTAGACCTGTGGACTTTAACCTATATATTGCTAAGAAAATGCATTGAAGACGTTCTGGGTGGCTGAAAGACAGAGCTACGCTTGAAATTGGGAGATGTTTCTCTTTCCGTCGCATGCACGGACTGGGCTGACCCATGTCTGCCTCGGCACCCTAGCTACGAAGACTTCACATCGGATTCCCGTGCTCCTACAAATCATACAACACCAAGCCGCAGCGAAGACTACAGTAGATCTGATCTGGAACGGGAGATCAGGATGTACCATCAGAGTTGCAAGTATTTCACCTGGTGCCATGAGGGATCTGCATTGCCCATCCCGGGAACTCCGACCATGAACATCGCCGGGTCGGCCATCCTATGGGGCACACGGTCGGGATGTCGTCCTGTTTAGTTTGAGATGGATCCAAACGAAAACCACACGACGATCCTGTCTCTCACGTGGTTGCGAGCAAGTATAGATTTGTGTCCGCCAACTGGAAGGCGCCGTCTCGGGATGGCTCTTGAGCTAACACGGGAGGGCTTTATTTAGGGTGATGAAGGATGAGAGGGCGAGCAAGTCTTTGCCGCACGTTCGCTGCACTCCCGTTTAAGATCTGCTGCTGCGGCATGCTGCATGGATGTCGCGAATTATTGTTGGGCGTTTCACTTTTCAAGTGGGACCTATGCCCTGTGTTGCTCTGTCCCATGTGTGGTTTACCGCACTCTCTACGTATAGCCGTCGCTCGATGGATGTAGTGCGAATTTCATGCCAACCTGCAGTCGTGTGCCACTCACCAAGAGGGAAACACCGCGAAGGGTATGAATGAGAAATGTGGACACACACAAGCGTTCATCGTAAACTAGAAGTTCCCCCGCATGCCATGCCCCCTTCCGCCTTGTTCGGCAATCGATCCTGTCTGCGCGTCCCCCTTTCTTTGTTTGCCACAGGGAACACACGGAATAGTGGCATCGAATCACAATTCCTGGAGCAGCGCAAAGCCCAGCTTCCAGCAGAGGCTGTTGTTTGTTCGCAGGTGCAACTGGAGAAAGAGAACGCTGGGTCTGAACAGCCTAGTGTTGCCCGCGCCCCCTTCCTGTCGAAGGCATTTGGTGCTCCCACCACACTTCAGCGTGTGCGTGAACGCGCATGTGTGTTTGTGCCAGTGTGGACCGGACGACGACGTCGCCGCCTCTGTGAGCACCACCCCCGCCGGCCGCAATGTTCGACGATGTGATCTCCACGGGCCTGCAGGCGGTGCTGGCCGAGATATTCGAGTCCGTGGACAAGAACCAGCTCAACGTCTCTCTCGTGGGTGACATTTTCAAGGAGTCGCATCTGGAGCTAACGGACCTGCGCCTCAAAAAGACCCTTCTCAAGGACATGAACCTGCCAGTTGAGGTCAAGGAAGGTCTCGTGGGCAAGCTCGTCATCCAGGGGCTAAGCGGTGAGATAGGGCCAGAAGGCGCTGTTGTTCGGGGTATGGGTTGGGTCGCAGCAGCAGCAGCAGCATCAGCAGCATCAGCTGCTGCTGCAGTAGAGCACTCATTGGGAGTCTGCTGGACAGAGCAGTCAGTCAGTCGTTGATGAATTTTTGTGGAACAAGACTATTCTGGGTCCTGAAGGAACGCTGTTGTCTTTATAGCAGACAGCTCATCGCCTTGCACAACATGAGCCTGTGCCGTGCACGGGAGTAATGCCTACGCGAGACAGACGTTTATTCAATGGAAGGCTTGGACTTTGAAGGTGTGCACGCATAGGAACGACTCACGGATGCTGCCGTGGCCTACTACTGCTGTGTGTAAAGTGGTCAACTCTAAAGTTCTGGAAATCGCACAGAGCAAAAGACCAAAGGGGGGGCGCGCGTTTTTCGGAGCTATTTTCTATTTTTCCCCGTCCTGCTACGCCTACACCCTACCTCTCATTCAGTCCAAGGCAACGTGTAGTGTTCCGTTACACCTGCCTGCTGCTGTGATTTTGTAGACTCCTTCGCGTACAGACGCCTATATCTGGTTCTTTGGGTCTCTTTTTCCCTTGCCAGCCAGAAGGAGAATGTGCTCGTGCTCAATACACTTGGCCGTATACATACGGTTTTTTCTTTTGTGGTCGCGGTCTGGCTCACACGGCCAGCGGAACGTGTTTTGCGCAAGAAATACTTCTTCTGCTGAGTACTGACTCTGAATGGGAAGAGAAATAACGCACCCCCATGTGCATGGTTGGACAGCCTTCTTACCACGTTTTTGCATGAAGATACATGCGAATGTTTTTTTTTCTATTTTTGTATTGTTGTTGTTGTTGTTCACATTGAACTCGTGTCAGTTGCTAATCCCAAAACCTAGCGAAGACTCGGTCCGTGGTCACAAAAGCTATTATCATCGAGCCATCAGAAGATCTAAAGAACACACACTATTATTAGCAAGAAAGGGGTACACGAGCCCTAGGAGGTACACCTAAGATCCGTGCAGCATGTGTGCGTGCTCACAACTGAACTACACACTCGCACACTACAATTCGACTACAGCAGCAGCACCCCCCCCCTTGTCCCGCACTTGACCAAAATGAAAGTTTGTCGATTACAGCGTACCGCTGTCTGAAGTGCTGTCTGTACAATAATAACACCATGGTGCATGGTACACAAGCTCGGGGCATGCAGCTGCTGTCTGACATGCTGCCAGAATGAGTCCGTGGACATATAATGAAGAACAACCAACTAAAGCCATCATTGCAATTGACAACCACCCGAATCTATCCAGATCATCTGTGTTAGACAGCAGTGCAAACATCGACACTGACTAGGAATCGTTCCACATTGAAGGGGTCTTCCACGATGCAGGTACATAATTAAGGCACCCGGGTTATTCGTGCCATCTCCGCCGCGTCTCTCTACAAAACCAGTGACGTCATTACACATACCCAACACCTACATATATGAATTGTATGGACTATTCAGGAATAAAACGGGAAAATAATTGATAACACAAGAGACAGATGCGCCACGGTTCGATGCCGTCCGCATGCTCCGGTTCCGCTGCTCCGGTGCCGCTGCTCCGGTGCCGCT